TGGGATTTTGCACTCTTTGAACCGGTTTTCAAGGGGCTTCCAGCAGATCTGCACTGGGAACCCAAATGCAGGGCGCTTGTATTTTTAACAAAGGAACTCTTTAAGTCCAGTTCTTTGGAAGCGTTCACACTTGTCCCTCAGAGCTCTGGTGTAGATCTTTAACTGCAGATTGTGTCACCGATGGGGTCCCACCATGGTTCAAACTGTGGGGTCTTTGCAGTAAGATGAGGGAGGGGCAGGTCCAGGGCCCCAGGATCTGGCGATGTCACATTTATGCTCAAGTCATGCGTGTGTTCATGTTTCAAACATGGCTGCACAGGAGAGTAGCTTAGAGCAGCCCTGAGTTTACATACTTCATTTAATCTTGATTAACTTGAATTATTATTTATGTAGAAATATTTTTACCTCTGTGGTAACTGAATATGTTACAGTTTGCATAATTGTTTTATATTTAAAAATTATTTAATTTATATATTTATTATTTCAGTGCTGTTTACATAAATTACTACATCAAATATATTAACAAGCAATTCAGTTCTTGCTAAATGGATTTTTTGACATATAGGCTAATGACTGATTTGTATAATCATTTTCCTCAACGTGCAAAAGCCTTTTATGAAACAATGCTAGGAGAAAGCGCACACACAGATGAACACACGCATGCACACACACACATGCACATACACTCACACGCACACACTCACACACAAACTCTTCACATCTTCCTTCGACACTCATAATAAGGACAAAGAGGGGCCGTTTGAAATGGTTTAGCATGTCAGCCGTTTACCGTGCCCATGTATTCATCCGGCGCCTTGGGTCCAGCCCTAATCCCTCTCGGGGCCCCTCTCGCCCTGTGCCTGTGTTTTCTGCGGAGGGGTGCTGGCCAGCCCCATGTTGGTAATTAGCTCTCAGCGCTGGAACGGAGCACGCTGAGCTGGGTGTTAATGGGCAGGGCAGGCCTTCACTCTCCCAGCAGGCTGAGAACAGACACAGAACCGCCCTTTGTAGCTCTCACAAGGGATAGGGGGGGGTGGACGGGAGAGAAAATCATGGAAAAGGTCCCCTATTTAAATACTGCGGCAAATAAAGGCCGACTGTCTGTACAAAAGACCAGACAACCAACCGACGTGTCTGTGTAATAACACAAAGTATGTCCTCTGCAAATGAAAGGTGGTGAAGTGTTTCCGAGGCTCGTAAAGGACGGAGCGAAATGCATCAAGTCACATAAGTTTAATGTTAAGTAAGAAAATACGCAGGAGAAGCTTTGTGTGGTCAGTCTACCCTTCTGTTTACCACGAGGAGCAACATTAAAAAGCCATTAAGTTTTTTATGTGTCTAATAACTATGAACTCTTTGCAGGAAAAAAAAAAAAAAGAAAAACGTTACAACAACATAGTTCTCAAGTTACATCATTATCAGAAATACAGAAAATTGATTCTGTAATTACAACAGAATCAGAGCCTTTGTCCTCCAGGTTACAAAGCTTACCTCGATTATGATTGTTTTACTTGTAATTAGCAAACCAGGGTTCAGCATACAGCAGCTTGGTGGTTTTGGACTAGATTTATTTTGAGGTATGGAATGAATTTCCGTCTTTGGCCATTTGCCCCCCCCCCCCCACCACCCCCCAGGGGGGTCAGAGTTCACATTCCCGGGTAAAGCTCCAGGCTTTGTTCCCAAACCTTCCTAGCTCCGCCCCTTTTTCAAAAGCTTTCAGCATTTTCTGTCAACACTTCTCTAGACATTCTACACGTTTCCTTTCCCCACTTGTGTTTTGAGGCACAAGCTCAGTGAGGAAAGTATCAAGATGTCTCGACAACCCCGAAAATGTGTGACATTAATGAAGCGGTGACAGGATTAGCTTAATACCGTCACTGTTCCTGCTCGTCTGTGCACGCAGCCTCTACAGACTATCAGGAAAGTCAAACTCGCTGATCTTCCTTTCCCTGAAGGCTGGTCTCCACCCAGAGCAGAGCGAGGGTGACAAGCGCATGAGTCGTGTCTCTGCGAGTGTTGTGAGCACAGATGCCATCATTTTTCATTTGTTTTTTTTTTTTTCATTTTCGTGATTTGGGCTTAAAAATATAGAAACACAGTGTGTCTGTGTATGTGTGTGTGGGTGCGTGTGTTTGTGTCCTGTGCTCTTATGTGCACATACACATAATGCCTACAGTTGTAGGAGACAGTATTAGATGACATGTGGGAAAAACATGAACTGATATACGTGAAATACATATATCAAAAATAATCATTATTTCTGCAAGTGACATCATGGACATCCAACGTTCCCCACAGGAACTGGAATCTCCGTTCGGTATGATATCACATCACACAGCTATCTGCAGAGAAGCTTGTTACGAGATGGCTGGCATCGGCGAGCAAGAAGGAGACCACAGAAGCAGTCTGACCTCTGTTTGGAGAAACAGCCGTTATCTGACCACATCTCGCTCATGGCACAGTAGCCCAGAAACCTCGATGGTAAAAGCCGTGAAACACAGTTTGTTTCAATGCAGGCTTTAACTGTAGCAGCTATTCCTAATCTGCCGCTAATCTGTGTTGATCCCTTAGCATCATGGAAACGAGCTCTGAGATCCAGTGTCACTGTAAGGTTAGCCACCATGCCATTCTGATACTCTCACAGGCCTCCTGCATAATTTTCAGCTTTAACAATCCTCATCATCATCCATTTTGTCTTGTTTATTTACTTTTGCTACATCATGTCAATCCAATCACTACCAAAAATGAGCATCGGTCTCAACCTCAGTCTCAACATGTGTGATTCTCATTATTTCCTTCCCATGAAATTCCTGTGTAGATTATTTTACTGGTCAGCTCAGGCTTCATGGGAAGAAATCCACATGAAATTTGGATTACAGTTAAAAGCCATAGCTTAGCCTCCATGCAGGACCTCGGTGTAACAAAATAGCTTTTAAAATATGAAAAATATATTTCTTTAATTTCCTGTGATATGTTTCCCTCTGACAGCGGTTTGCGTCTCCTGATGTCTGATTTTCAGCAGGTCCGTGTCGAGACCCTCATCACTAGATAATGTTTGCTGCCAGTCAAAGGGGAAATTTAAGAAAAGGTAATCGTAGGATTGGCGGATTGATGGAGTCCCAGATAACACTTCAGCTCTGCCTAAAGCGCAACGTTTGCCATACAGAAGCGGATACTGACACAATTAGAAAAATCTGAAGAATGTGACGTCAGACCAGAAGCTATTGTTCGTCACACAAAGCTGCTGTTTCAGCTAGCAAGCAGTGGAATACCAGAGGAAGACCCCGTCCTCCCGTCCAATCAGAAGCCTGCCCTATACATGAAGAGCTGTCGAAAACGCGGTCCGTCTCAGGTCCCCTCTGCGTCCCGGGTCACTAAAGTGGCGGGACAGGTGAACAAAAGTGCCATTGTTTCTGGGTCTTTTCCACTCAAACAGACCTCGGTGTTTGCATTAACAAGGCACACCGCTGATAACATGGAATTACCGCAACCTGGGCAGATATGCTTGTGGGGGAATGATAACTTCCCATTGTGAAATCATTAGGAAATCAATGGCATTGGAGTTATCCTTGCGTGTAAACTGTGGTGGGAACCGAAGGGATGGGAAAGTTGTCCTTGAAAACAGACCCTTGTTCTCTCTCTCTCTCTCTCTCTCTCTCTCTCTCTCTCTCAAGGACAGAAATAAACAGGTGGAGAACAAAATACCATAACGCAGCAACACAAAAACCTACGAACAAAGCAGAGAGCGTCATACTCATGGTAAATTGTTATCTGCATATGAACACGGATCATTTCGCATCAAATGAATGAGTTCCATCTGCCAAACATTATTTTTTTAAAAATCCCATCGGTCACCGCTGTCCGGAACACTTTGCAAACCTAACCTACACGGTCTGGTAGCAAGAAGGAAGCCATTACTCAAACGTGCCACCACAGGGCCTGCGCTAAGCCATCAACAAGCGAGGGAACGTTCCGGCTAAAATGCGGTAAAAGGACATGGCCTAGATTCCTATTGCACACTAGCGGCGTCACACAGCACTGTGTCCGGTCGAGGGCACTGCCAGAACCAGGCATGGTGACACCTGGATTGTGTTACATGACCGCACCTTACAGTCTTGGAGAACCGGAGCCATGTGACACAGAGCTGGGCAGGAAATGAGGTCGGGGGAAGCGACGCTATGTTGGGACAAGATGGATGGCATGGGTGATGTAAACACTGAAAGAAAACTGAAAGAATCCCCTCAGCAAGGCAGGGCTTTCCTGGCAATGTGGGGCAGGCTGGTGGGGCAGCCAGGGCTGTGGATTTTCCCAGGAAGAAAGCAGGACTCGGCAATTAATGCAGATCAGAAGGACAGGTGGAAGTAATCAGCTCACTAGCAATGGTCAGCTGACTCTCCATCCCAAGGATGCCCCCATCCCCCAACATCAACAACTAGGAAGCTGGAGGAAAAATGTGCTTCAGTGGCCCATCAAAGACAAGTTGTGTTCTTCAAACAGAAATAAAGAGAGATACTATGCTTTTAGTAGATTTTTTTGCGGCAGTGGTAAGAAAGAAACACAAATCCAGAATATCAGCTTGAGCCAATACTTCTCTATCAGTAGTCCAGCACAGAAGAGGGAGCCGTTGGCTGCAGGAGAGCAGCCTCATTCTGACGTTGACTTTCTGGCAGCGTGATTCATGCTAAGGTAGCAGCGGCGCCCTGCAAATCGACTCACGAACACAGCAGTCATTGGGCCACCGATCTGTTTCCTTAAACCAGTGATCCTCACACGTCTGCCTGCCGGCGTACTCAGTTTGCTCTGCAGATAGTTTTTAAATTTTATTAATCACACTGAATAATATCTAAAATACTGAAAATGCGTACAATGATTTTTTTCATTACATTTTTCATGAATAAACTGGCTTAGGCAGTTCACTGTTTCAAATGCACCCATAATGCCCCAGTTCCCTAAAAATGAGCCTGCCTTGTAACTGGTGACAGGAATGACTTTTGATTGCGTTTTTTTTTTTTATTATCAACATAATCAGAGCTAATTTATTACAGATATCTTGGAAGGAAAGTCGCCTTGGAGAGGCAGCCAATAGGACCTGGGCTGACACCACTGCGGGGGGGGGAGGCTCCTGTAAGGCGATCATATGGACAACCTATAATTACGCTTGTAGTTACATTTGATGTTACACATTTGTAATGCAGTAAAAGACCTGCTACTGTATTGTGCACCTGTTAGCAATACAACCTCTCATTTTCAATACTCTGCAAGCGACACACAGAGAGAAGGTCATACCAGTGTTTCCCAATCCGGTCCTCAGGGAACCACAGCCAGTCCACATTTTGCTCCCTCTCAGCTCTTGATAGGGAGCTTCCCTGTTAAGGTTCTGTGTTCTGTCTGGGTGCTTCACCATCATCTGGGAGCCAGGTGATGCTGGATGAGAGAAAGACGTATCCATAGGTGCATAAATGTGGGAGAAATTAAGAGCAGTATAATTGGCTTACTTTATAAACAACAGGAGCAGAGACTGTAGGATTAGGCTGGTATAAAACATTGTACGTCCTGATTGCCAAGATATCACACAACAAAAACACAAAAAGAGGTTCTTCCATGTGTTGTGGTTCTACGGCTTCTGCTGAGCCCAGGACAAAGCTGCGATTTAATCAGAACAAATACAGATTTCATAGGTCATGACCACGGCCCATAGCTTACAGGAGGTCAGCAAACCCCTCAGCACACTGTTGACATTTATAGAGCAAAAACCTGGTAAGCATTTGCAGAGGTCATAAGAAAATAAACACCGATTAATGATTGGCTGGATGGACGCTAGATAAACAGGTCACAGTAATGATTAAGCTACCGTGGGCAGGGTCCAGGTTGTTGGAGAAAGCAGGTTTGTTCTGGTGCAAAAGAGCAGGAGTGATTGTGTTGGCAAAGTGACCCTTGACTTCCAAAGTGTGAAGCTAATAGCTGCAAAAGGCCGCGTGCATGTGTGGGGAAGCCCAAGCTACGTGGGCGTCTGACGGCGACGACGGCAATAAAGCACACCTGATGACAGGTATTAGATCAGCTATGCCGGTAGCACGGGAGGCTGGCCAGGCAGCAACAGGGGCTGGGGGGGCAGAGGCACGCATGTGAAGTTCAAGGGGTCCCTCCTGACGTGGCGATGAACTTAAATAGGTGTGACGTTACAAGCTGAGACTCATCAGAGTCACGGCGCGCCGGAGTGCTTAGCTGGGAATGGCAGACTCAAGAAAGATGGGGTAGTGTTAAAACGATGTGTGCGGCATAGCAGATTTTGCAAAGAAAAAACCATCGATCTTATCTTCTGTGGCATGGAGAGGGGAGGGCCTGTTCTGTTTATCCTCCTTGGGGCTTGGGAGAGGGTGTTCCCCATGAATCTCTAAGCCACAAAAACACTGTACATTATTATTATTATTATTATTATTATTATTATTATTGTTATTATTATTATTATTATTATTATTAGACGATCAAAGCACATAGTGCTATGGACCAAAATTGTTTTTATTAGGATTTGAAATTATTATTATTATTATTATTATTATTAGTAGTAGTAGTAGTAGTAGTAGTAGTAGTATTAATAATAATAATAATAATAATAATAATAATAATTTTGCCATTGTCATTTCTCTATTGTCTGCTAGTGCTTTTTAAATGCATAATTAAAATTGTCTAAAGTTAACACTGTGGGTTTATTTAATCTGTTTTGTATAATTTTGCTGTTAGTTCGTTTGTTAATTGCTTTGGGGAATACTCGATAGTGTGTTATATATTAAAAACAGAATTAAATCAAATTAAATACAATAAACAAAAGCCTGATATTTTCTGAAAAAAAAACTGGGGCTGGCTTGGATAATATAGTTAGATATTTTTGTTCACTGACGGAAATCTTATTATATACCTTTGAATCATGTGGTTAATGCAATGTAAATTACACTTCAGGGCTATAAACTCGCGTTATAAATAATGTATGTCTTTGCTACACGTCTTAATAGTCGTGCAGTTATATAAGGGCTGTGTCAGCACTGGAGGAATGTGGTGCATTTGCTTCCATGGAGATCTGTTGTTGATTCTCTGTAACGCTGTTTGCTCTGCTTTCCTACAACAGGGGATTTGCAGGCTGACATGCCGGCGGCTCAGAAGCACGTGGAAAATCCAAACACAGCATCTATTATATTTATATTTCTAATGTTAAAGTGGAAATAGCACCATTTGGGTCACGCACAATCCATTTCTTTCTGTTCTCATTGTTGAATATTTGCACTTTGGATGGTTATTCATTTCATAGGAAAAATATTACCTCTACGAAGACTCTCCATTTGGAGAAACTGTGTTTTAAATGGATGATTAGTGATGTTCTTCTGAATTCCAAAAGGCACCATCAACAAGCGAAGCAAACCGTGATGAAATACAGCTCAAGGCTGGAGACTCACAATTCTCTTGGGCAAATAAAAGCAATTCTTAGTATTTCAAATAATTTAAAGTTTACATTGACATCACACTTGAATATAGCAAGTACGCTTTTTTTTACTTGGTCTTCCAGAAATTCCCTTCGCCATTATAATTATGAAGCTAATGTAGGAAGGATAGAAGATGTGGCCGCTATGAGAGAGATGGCAGGTGATCCGGGTTCGATGACAAGCTGAACGTCACTCCCATCACTCGCTGTCACCGCTGTGCTATGCAGAATGTGGTCCCTAACACCCCCCCCCCCCCACCCCAGCCTGAGATGCACCCCCACCCTGTTGCATCTCCTAGGAAACTTTCCAAATCCCAGTGTAACATGGTTCTTTTCTCTTTTCCTAAAGAGGGGATTTTCACATCTGGTTAAATAAATCTCAGGTTTTAAGATAAATCAGGTTTTTATACATTTAGCAGAAAAATACGCTTTGGCTGAAAAACCTTGTTAAAGTATTATAAACCTCTCTAGATGTTTCCACACAGACTCAATGATAAGTAGGGCCTCCTTCACCTTTGGACTATCCCTCCTTGTCCACAGTGTGTGTCGTATCTGGCTGTCGGAGGAATTAAGGAAATATATTCTATCCAGGCACTACACCACTAATGTAAAGAAACTGTAGGTCCTTACAAGGCTTCACTCCCTCTGTTTCTGGATGGTGTCTGAGAGACCTCAGCGACCAGGCAGCGCTAAAGCTGCTCTCTTAATCAAAAGCTAATTTCCTGAGATACCGGAGTACTGCTGACACTTGGCCTGCTTTGGTCAATGTCAGAGGTCCAGAGCTGAAGATAACACTGAACACAGCAGCAGACTACCATGTTGGACAGGCCAGAGGTGCAGAGGAATACACCCACCTCAAAGCCCCCCCCCCCCCCCCCCCCCCCCCCCCGGCCAGACTCCCCGGAAATATTTTACTGAAGCCTTTCAAGTTGTATTAGTTAGCAACAAAAAAAAATTGCAAAACAAACATGAAAAGTTCTCCTCGCTGAGACAAGCTTGGACCTGAAACTGGTTTCATTTGGCTGGCTGCGAGCTGTAGTGTGATATCTTTTACTTAATCGGAGTCTCAGGCTTTTCTGTTCCCAATAATCCTTACAGGATTAAAACATATGCAACTTTTGAAATGTAACATTTACTCTTTTACTTTTAATATCTATTACCTTGAATGTATTTTATTTTCTTTTGCAAGCAAATGAGCTGAATGATTCTTTGAAAACAATTAGGTTACCAAGTTTTCAGAAGTATTATAAATACACAAATGAGTCACCCAAGGCTTCCCGCCACACCTGTACATTATAAGAACGAATCGGTGTATCAGCTATTAGTGTGTTTATACAGCACGCGTGTGAGTGACGTGAGGGCTCCAGGGGACTGGCGTGACATTGGAGGCTTACAGTTTAAATAATGAATATCTTTCATGTTTACCTTTCTCATTGGAGAACGTTCGCTGCCAAGATCAGTGGTCTGCGAGGTGAGGGGATGCATGTACTCTACATTAACCTTGGATTAACATCTTGGAGAAATCGCCCAATCATGTACAAGCTTAGTACAAAGAGCCCTGTCACAGTGATCCATACTGCAAGACCCACTTTCATTATATGTCCAAGTTATGTGGAAATTAATGCACTGGATCCATTTGTCTTCATTTCTATTGCTGCTTAATAGACTTTTCTATACATTTATGTAAGAGTGTTTGTATATTTTCAATAAGAAAGTTAAATACAAATGCTTTAATGATGTCGAATTTCTAATAATATACAGTACAACACAAAGAGTTTAATCATCGTAAAAATCAATATAAATTATGGACATGCATTTGGTCACAAAGAAATATGCTTTTCAGATGTGGCAACAACTTTAAACGACAGTGACTGACATGCACTGAGAGTGTTACTCACAGTCCATGCTTTAAATTTGCTAATGATGTGTCTGCAGGAAGTGACACAGGTGATCCATCGCGGTGCAGCTGAATTTTGAAAACGTATCCCAGAATCCTCTCGTGGAAGCTGTGGTACTGACCACTGTGCCTTTCATTTAATCACACTTCCACATCCCTTCAAATTCAAGTGTGACCAAGATCGCCTTCTTATGACGATGCGGGGAGCACTTTTCCTCAAACCTATGTGTGAATAATTTCATTAACGAAAAATGCCTGTAACAGCCTTGTCGAGCCATTAATGGGAGTTTTTCTGTGGGAATTGAGACTAAGTGATGGTTGCACTTAGGCAGCAGAGTGACTGTCCGTCTTCATAGTGCTGTTCTCCACCTTCAGTAATGAATCCGTCCCATCTGACTGGCTCTGGTTAAACAAAGGCAATAGATACCCTGGGTGTGACTGGCGAGGCGTCCCCTCCGGCTCACTCCCACACCTGCAGCTGCCCGCTCCTGCTCTGCAGTGAATGTTGCACATCTGGTTCGGGGTCTACGCTCGCCGGACTCTGAAATTCCCCACGTCTGCTCCCAAACTGCCAAAGCCCTTGCCAACATTTGACTTGAATTACCGCGCCGGGCTTTATTGCAGAGGTCAGCGCGGAGGGCTCGGGGGTCACGCAGCACCATCGCCAGCAGCACATAGCTCACCCCCTTCCTCGCTGACAGTCCTTTCTTGCTTTTAATGTAACAGCCTCAGTTCGTTGGTTGCCTTCACGCCTGACTGGAGTTAAATGCGTGCGTGCGTATGAGTATGTGCTTCAAAATGAGGCCCGAGTTCAATACGCGCTGGATTTTCCGAGGAATACGCAATAATCACATTAAAATCTCGCACCTTCTCCCTCCATTTACACTCTGCTTCATGTTTGTCCAGAATGACGCAAACACATCCTACAGACTTTCAATAACTTTTTTAATTCAGCTCTTAAATATTTGTAAAATCAGTATTTTCATACTACAGAACAAAGAATCGCTCAGTTTGTGGAATGATTTTGTTATGAGTTGAGGCTGCAGAATTCACAATAAACAGACATTTAAACTCAATGATGACAATTTGATATATACCTGAGTATGACAGCTGAACATCAGTATATTAATACTGTTGGTGAAATTAAACTGAGGCTAAAATTCTGCTCAATTTCATAAACTAATGTTTCTAATATGTCTGCAAGGTCATGGGACGCCAAGCTATTTGATGTACTTCATAATATTTCAGAGTTTCTGTTCTCTATTCATTTTTTAAGCGATGAGAGATTCAATGGTTTTGATAAAGTAATTTCCATCTGCCTTTAATTACTGATTGTCAAATATGGGCAACTAATGACCCCAGAAGCAAATTTATTTTTATTAAGTTACTCATTGCTGTCATGCTGAAAAGTGCACACTTTTATGAAAGCGGGTGTCCCGTTAAATAAGTTATCTATCCATTTGATTTTTTTGGGCTGTTCTTTATTTTTCTTTTGCACTAGTGCTTAAAAGAAGAGCCCAATAATGTGGCAGGTGGCACAGCATCGCAGTGTGGAGTACCCGGGGACGTGCCAAACACAAATGTCACGATATCAGGTTTTATTCAGGTCCGTTGGGTATAAAATATCAGGCCTTTGTCGGGGACGTAAGCAGCCACACATCGGCGTTTGTTCGCCGTGGAGGACTGGGAGAGGGAGGGCCGCAGCGTTTGATTTCAGATAAGGGGGACCTGGAGGAGCGGCGCTACCCCGGTGCTCTTTGCGTGAGTCACCATGTACTGGGGGGGGGGGCGCACACCTGGGAACATCTGTGTATCTGTGTCGTAAGGACCCCCGGGAAGAAAGTGGGCCGGCTCAGGTTTCCCCACTGTTAAATTACAATTTGTCTTGTTTTATGACGGCTCTGACAACAGCCGTTTATCTGCTTAACCTTTTAAATGCCACCGATAGCCACTGGAGATTATCATTTTCAGAGGCGGGAGGGTTCTGACCGTGACCGCTGGAACCCGATCTGTGGGCAGGACACGCCAGCGACGGTACTGAGGCCAGGAGTGCTCGGGCCGCAGCCGCTTTCGGACATTCCAGGCTTCTGCCCGATTCCCAAAAGTGACACACTGCCATACATTTATAGTATTGCACAGCTTTATCTATTTCCAAACCTGAGTGCCTGTAATGTAAATAATGTACATTCTGAACAGCTGCAAAAATGTGAATCGTTTACTTTCCACATTCCGCGCCGTGATTTGTTAGTCCATATTTTATTGTGTTTCTTCAGTTATTCACTCTTTAACACACCCACGTTTAACGTTGTATTGTGTCACTCCAGAAACTGCCAGAAGTAAAAGAAAAATATTAAAAAGCAAGATACAGATATAGCTACGTTTTAGTTAGACGTGTAGCTATGGAAGGCCATCCTATGGCATGCCGGACAACGCAAGGGCTCATTGTCCATCCATCAGACCTCCACTTTGGCCTGGGTCAGTCAGATAAAGATCAGCAGAAGATTAGGTGCACACATTCTTGACGTGGTTGACCCTGGCATCTTTGCAGCAAGCAATGAGCCTTTCATCGCATGCACAATGGGCTTCTTTCTCTGCCTTATCGTCACCAATAACTCCAAGTTTTTTCTGTTATTATCATTAACTCGGCAGTGACACGGAGGCGGGGCTGGCACAACGCTGAGGAGCGTGAGCCCAGGTCTTTGAAGCCACGCAGTGATGGACAGTCACACTGCGTCACTGCAGACTGCTTATCCCCGTGCTTATTACACATTTAACTCATACTTGTTTTCATTTATTTAAAAATGTGGTAACACTTTACTCTAGGGGACACAAATAATGTAGTAGTGCACTCTTAATATATAAATTCATTCATCATTAATCAATCATAACAGTCCATATTTTTATTGAACTGTACTTGAGTAGTGACTGAGTTACTAAGTTACTTGTGCCCCCTAAAGTAAAGTATTATTCTATGTATTTCTTGCTGAATATATATATATATATATCTACCAGGACAGCTTCCCACCATAGACAGTGTGCCTCAAAATGTTTGATAAGTGAAATGTTATACATGTATCCGGTACAGCACTCTAGCTCTTTATAAATAAGTATTGACTGATTAATTGACTAATAATTAGATAGTTTTCTCATTTTGTAGTGAGGTTAGGATGCTTTTTGTAATCAAGGAAATGAGTCTAATGCAGTGCTTCCCAATCCAGTCCTCGGGGACCCACGGACTGTCCACGTTTTTTTTCCCTCCCAGCTCCCTGCCCGACATTCACATTTTTGCTCCCTCTGGACTGGCAAGAAGCTGGGAGGGAGAAAAAACGTGGACTGTCTGCGAGTTCCTGAGGACCGGATTGGGAAACACCGGTCTATCTGCAGAAGTCTGGCTTTGGTCTCCCCCAGTCAATTATACTGATGAAATGGGCCCTATTTCTATTTTGTAAGCAGGTAAATTAATATTTGAGGGATGCATTTTCTGGCAGCTGCCACTGCAATCACCCTGAGCTCCACAGGAAGATGCCCTGCATTCTGTGTCCCCTGCCTTAATGTCATCTAACACCAGCTCACTGTCTGGCTTCAGTTCACAAAGAGACAGAAAAGGGTAACAAATACCAAAAAAAAGAGGCAGACCTATTTCATGATGACGCTGGGTCTGAAAAAGATGAAGACAATGCCGGCTTGACAAAGGGATGGGTGAGGGAACTCAAGAACACCTCATCCTCCAGCAAGTGTGGAGTCTGAGAGGCACAGGCTGAACTTCTGACTGACAGTTATGAGAGATGACTTTAAATTTGATAACAGGAGCAGAACTGATTCAAAGCAGAGCCTGCAGTACACATCTACAAACAATTTTGGCTTTAGAAATATTATCCTTCATAAGTTAGTATTATTTATTATAATGATCGCTATTTTAACATCTGTGATTCATGCTTACACAACAGCGGAAATGTTGCATGCATTTTTAACAACTGCATTTATGTTATTTTCTGGTATGTATGTTGAGGAGATTTGTCAGGGCGCGCTTTTAAGTGTGCGATTCCCGTCTCAGTTTACAGATCCTCATCAGCTCCGTAGTCAAAGCACACATTCTCTGGAATGGCGGAGGACAGCGTACCTGGCAGTCCGGTTTAGCGAATAAGCTGTCAGCTGAAGCCTGACTGTCACACCATGTGACCTACAGCCAATTTCTCAAAAGAGCAAACTCATTTCAGCTAAAATGCCTTGATATTTTTTTTCCACTAAAAATAATATCCCTTGTTAATGATTATAACAATTAGTTTCAGAACTCAAGTAACTGATGACTGTGAACTTAGTTCTAACAACAGATGAGAGGTTTTTTTTTTGGTTGTTTTTTTTTTTTTGTTCAAAGAAGGCTTTGTCCAACTACAATGAAATTACAAAATTGACTACATCTGGCAATAGTCTTTTAAACGTCAAAACACAGAGACTTTTTAAAGAGGAAAATGTTTTCTAATATGGGAACAATTAAGTTACAACCAGTGACTGATGAAATGGTGTCTGTCTTTCATTCATCACTCACCTAGTGTCCACTAGCTGCACATTATGGAGATGCTGACGGGTTAGGCGAAGGGAGTCATTAAAACTCGCAAATGTGTCTTGATTTTCAGTCAGACATATCTGGCATGTCTTCGAACTGAACAGATTGTTTCAGGCGTGCAGATTGTTTTTGAGTCGGGGACTTCGCTTACGCTAATCAAGGCCTAGCTATACGTCCTGAAACCCACGTATACAAATAAGCGTGAGCCTCTTGCCTTTCAAACTCCTCTTCCTCCTCCCCAGGATCCTCTGAAGCTGTGTGCACTTTCAGCGCCTCTCCGTTTACAGTGTGTCTTTCACAATGGACCGTCTAGACCACAGAAAGCAGGCCGGTGTTAGTTAACGTTAGCGAACATTCTGCAGATTCTGTGACCAGATATGGGGCTTGAACATAAGGCAAACATGGAAGATCATGTTTCGACAAAGATGTGAAATCTGGAGCTGCCTATAGCTCCTGCATATCTGCGTACAACAATGCGACAGATCTAACGAAAACCAACAATTATGTTGAGACGTTAAAAATTGTCTGGTTCATGAATAAATGTATTCTCGCATTCATGTAATTACATAACATTTGTAGAGACAATCTGCTCTTTGTCTTTTTGTATATCTGTACCAAAATATAACATTTGTGTTTTTAAGAAAAAAAAACACATTCCTAATATATTCTCTCGGCAAATAAATTAATCATTAACAAATGGGCTGATAAGAGAAAGAGCGAAAATCTTATATCACGCATGGCAACCAAGCCAAATGGTTAAGTAACTCACTGACGTCACTGTGCCTGCCAATGTATCACCATTAATAAAAGACAAATCAAATCCTGTATCAGCATTTCTACCAAAATGTAATGAACAAATACATAGATAAACAGATAAAACCAGCATTGTGGATGTTAATAATCCATTAATATTGCTTGCTGGTTTTGGAACATTCATGTGAAACATCTTCCTGCTGATTTGCCGGTATTTCTAATTATCGATTAGGTGGATGTTTCTGTGTGAAAAGTCTTTCACGCAAAAATGGAAAAGCCTTGAAGGCCTTGTGTTCCATCAAAGGCCTCCCTGAAGCTTTCGATGCGTCTGGCATGACTTCACCTTAGGGAGAAACCTCGAGGAAACTGCCAGTTCTGCTGCAGTGTCTCACACGCGACCAGGTAACACTTTCCATCAGAAGACGTTGCCGTCAGCGCGGCTTTCCGTTTCTGAGGATGTGGTACCAGCCATACTTTGTTCTTTCTGGAAGGCAGTCAGGAGGTTTACTGGGGAATGTAGGCAAATGTAGGTGGGTGTTTACAAACTTTTTCAGTAATTATTTTTTTTCAGAATCGGCCTCCATCTGGCTCTGTTGGCTTGTGACCATCCGGTTCCATCTTACATTCCTTCGTGTTCTAGGGATCTATGACGTTTCTCTGAAGAAGCTGCATTTGTGTGTGTGTGTGTGTGTGTGTGTGTGTGTGTGTACATGTGTGGGTAAGTGTGTGTGTGTTGACGTTATTTATCGGCCTATCCTGATGGAGAGCATCCATTTCGCTAGTCAGTAGAGAAATCATATAGAATAGAAGTCCTGGATATACCCTGGTTAGACAGAGCCTGCCTGGTTACCAGCGGATAGCTGGTCTGTTTAAGTGATCAGAAGGTTCATAGCATGACCAGTAGGACATATGTGCTGTAGTTGTTTTCACTCTGGATGATTTAGTAACCTAACCCGAACCGTAATTATAGCCATTCAGACTTTAACTAACAGATCTATAACATAGGAATACAGTGGTACCTCGGTTCTCGAACTTAATCCGTTCCGGACTCCGGATCGAATTCTAAAAAGTTCGTGTTCTGATAAAATTTTTCCCATAAGAAATAATGGAAAACCAATAAATTGGTTCCCGGCCCCCCAAAATTACACCTAAATATGTGTGGGGTTCTTTTTAGCATTTAAATACAAAATGAACAAGATAAAACAAGAAGAGCATTTTTTTCTTAATGGCTTCCAAAACGATAAAGAAACATTACCCCTGTCCTGCCCCGATCATCCGCTCCTTCTGTGTGCCACGCCCCCTCGTTAACCTCGTGTGGGATCCCCATGTGATCATCTGTTTCTGGTTGTTGTCATTAGTCCTCTGTATTAAGTCCGCCTTTCAGTTTGTTTCTCCAGTCTGGTCATTGGGTGCGTTCGACTTGCTTACAGCGCTGGCTTAAAGCAACGCATTCTGATCCTGACGCAATGCATTACGGTTAGATGCATTGCGACCTCTCACCCGGCTGCACAAACTGGAACCGCCTCCGTGACGACACACCTTTGCCCTTATTGGCTGAAGAGTTTAGATACACGCATGACGTTTGTATCCCAGGCAGTTCCCATGCGTAATCTGCTATTTCTCCCGAATATCACGTAAAACAGTGAGAACTGGTTTTCAGTTAATTTACCTGGTAAAATAAAGTTTAAATAAATGACATAAATGCTCTAATAGTACACGTAAGTTAGTGGTTTATTTATTGTTAGTTACTGTAATGTTGCGCTGCTTTATTTGGTTAATCGTCCAGTCTGTGAAGAAGGCATTCAAGTAAGAATTGCATTGTAGTATGACTCATTTCCTGGCGCGTACAATTTATATTAGGTCAGCGTTCACGGTTCGACTTCTAATATTCAGATCGAGTTCTAGGTCAAACTGGTTTGTTGGACTTTCAAAAAATTCGAGTTCTAGTGAGTTCGAGAACCGAGGTACCACTGTATGTTGTTTTACAAGTATGAGGGTTATCTGTCAAGCACCAAGTTGATTTTTGGGTACATTTCACACAGAAATTTAATCTGATTTCATATGAAACCCCATGTGACTAGGTTTACTTTGCATATATGGATTTATTTAACATTAAAAAAACATACTTTTGAACATTATATGTTGGAATGACGATCAATTTCTAAGAAGCAAGTACTGGGTGTATAATAATGAGTAATGAATAAGGTAGGGGTACCTGTTTGCCCGCAGTGTGAAAAGCACTCCACCTTCAACAAACGTTTATGATGACTGGGGCAGCCAGAGAGGGCGGAACAGCTGGACGGCTCCGCCCTGCTGGGGGGTATGGGCAGTGCCCAGCACGGTGAGGATGGCACAACACCTGGGTGGAAATGCAGCGAAGACAAAGGCAAGGCAAGAGTGGCAGCCAATGGCCCAGCATACTGATCTAGGAGCCCACGGCTCATTTCTGTTTCATTACAGTTTGTAGCATAACAACGTACCTCGAAACAACAGTTATAGGAAATATGAATCCTGCTTTAGACACCACGCATACCACAGAAAAGCCTTAGGAAAGCATGCAGCTCTGTAGCAGTCAGGCATCATTGGTTTCCGTGTTCTTCTAGAAACTCTTCAAGCTCAGAGCATAACGAGCACGACAAACGGCACAGACTCAACACTTTTGTCAGTTCTGTTTTGGTCTTACCAAACGAAAATAAAATAATATTGCAAATAAAGATAATAATAATAATAATATAAATGAATAAAATCACCCAACCCCTACAACATAAAAAATAATACATGTGACAAATCACAGGCACCCTTATGTCACGTTATAACGTTAAAGCATTTACGATAAGTGAACAATGATCACGTGCACTAAGTGGCAGGAGACCGCTAAGAATGGAGGTTGCTCAACAGTGAACATGCGGGGGAGGGTGACGGCCTTTGCTCGTGTCACGTAAATGATGCACTAACATCGATGTTGTATTATTTGCAAGTTCCCTGGAAAGCGATCGTGGGGTGGGGAGGTGTAGCCTCCTCCATTGTCCTTCACCTTCACTATAAAGCAACAGGCGATGGATTACTGGCGTGGAGTGATTCCATGCAGGATGGAGATGGAATCTATTGCTTATGGATTCTTTTTTCCCCATCACTAATTCCAGCCTTCCTGGTACCCTCTCTGCGTACGGTGACGGCACTAAAGCAAACTTCTATGCAAAATGTATCACAGGCAGCATCAGTGCTGGAGATGACAGGTGTGATCGTATCACATTGCTGCACAGGTGTGGTGCTGGGAGACAATAACTCAGACTCTTTTTTTTTTTGGGGGGGGGGGGTGCCACCAGAAAGAGCACATCATGCAGGGAGAGCAGCACTCCGATGAAGCTCTGCTCTGCCGGCAGAATGATGACATGAATGAAGCACAGCTGCATCCTACAGTCGCAAGCTTCGCGCCCATAGGCGTCCCGGGGTCATGATGCTACTCTGAAACTTAAAGTAACTTTGAACAAATGATACCGTATTTGGGCAGAAAGCCAGGGGTCTTTGTGGACCGAAACCAGAATCCTGTTTGCTTTGATTGTAAGCGATATCAATGAATGCTGAATGGGCGAAGAACAGTAAATAGTCTTTTTGGGAAGTTCACTCATTATATCAGAATGAAATAACACACCATCCCATGTTATTTCCACAAACCCCAGCAGTTCCAGTAAAAAAAAAAACAGGTAAAACTACATCATCATTATAAAAATAAAAAAATTAAACATAAAACTCAATTTGAAATAGTTTTAAATATCCCAGGCTTCCACTATTAGTTTTTAACATTTGTTTATAATACCTTTTCATGATTTAACATATTTAATTTTGTGTTTTAGGTGTATGAAGGCACAATTAATTTTGTTAGGCATCTCTTCTCGTTTGTGTTTCTTGAAATTGATTTAGAAAGTTAAGTCTTTAATTCCTTACGAATATGGGGGGGGGGGGTTACTCAGCGCAGGGTGTTGGCGACCCTGGTGCACTGGGCCTCTAGCTCCGAGGGCAAGCAGAAGGCGGTGATAAGGTCCTGCTGAATTTCCTGCTTCCCATACAGGGGTTCGCTCTGCAAAATAAAGGGTGAATTATAAGTCAGCTGAGAGTCACTGTGCTAAAGTTCAGGCTAAGGTTGATTGTAATGGAGCTTCTTAAGACCTATTTGTCTCTCCTGTTGACACGCAGAGACACACACATACACACACGCGTGCGCACACACAAGCACACCAGAGTCCTGTCCATAGTATGTCTTCCATGAAAAACATACTAACTACGGGCACATCGTTTACATCATCTGTGTGTTTTGCTGGTGAGATTTAGCATGAATAATATATTATGTGTGGCGCAGTGATCCGTATTGATAAGGAGCGTGAGATCTGTATGTGCCGGCTGGCCAAATTCTGTTTATAGATATCTGACTATAAGGTGATGCTGTGGCTTCACTGGACTGCCTGTCACGTCCAGAGCAGCCGGCGGCTGAATTTGGCCTCAGCTGCGTGTGGAGGTTTATATATCTTCCCCACTGTTGGGTGGGTTTCCTCCTGGTCCTGGTTTGTGACTGTGTGTATGTGTGCAGGTGCACAAGTGCCCTGGGGAATCCTGTCACACAAGCAGGATACACCATCCTTCAAAATGTATAGATCATATTATAGTGTGTCTTTAGCATAACATTAAAACAATATCTGTATATGTGTCCATTTTTATGCATTGGGTACTCGAGCAGAAACTGACTCCAATACATTAAACTATTACCAAAATATATTATATTCCTCACTTGTACAACACATTAAACAAGTGTCTACTGAATAAAATAAATGTAATTATATATACAGGAGCACAATTATTAAATGAAAACTGAATTCTAAATAATATGAATAGTGGTGCATCTAATAAGGGACAACAAAGAACATTTGAAGTTTATGCACTGTCAAAAAACTGTCTGTTTTTGAATCAGTTACACAACAATGGCTACTAGAATGTATATATATCCCTATATCACCTTTTGGTTTCAGTGCTGTATTTGCTTTCATCTTTTTAGCAAAAAATAAATTACTAAAAGCAAATTAGTTATTACGATATAGTCCATGACATTTTCTTGTGTATCCATGGAATGGGCTCTTCATACTTGAATTCATGGGAAACGTTGTCTTTTGCTAAAAACACAAAATCACCCTTCCTAACACCTTATGACTGACTAAAACATAATATTCACTGACCTGAAAAAAAATTGATATCAAGCTCAAAGATCTCCAGTAATATGTACACCTGAAAAATTCCCATACACGCATACCCTTATAATATCCCTATATGCATCAAACCCAAAATATCTCAGTAATAATACACAAATGATATACCTCCATACACATCTACACCATAAATACCTCCAAACACATCTACACTGAAAAGAATATCTCCACATACACCAGGACCTGAAATAGGCAGTCCCACGCCTGAATGACATCAACAAGCATCCAAATACCATTATATACAGCTGGAGCAAAAATACCTTCATACATGCCCAGTGCTGAAATACCTATATGTACATATACACTTAGAAATCTGCATTATTTTGGGTAAACCCCACTATGACTAATAGATTAAAACGTTTCATTTCCTTAAGGTCACATAAATTTTAGTGTTAACAGCCAGAAAAAGTCTTATTTTACATAAATGGTAATCCGTAAAAAAATGTAAAAATAAAAAAATATATGTCATTTTAAAAACCGTCAACACAAACTGCCGTCTCTGAAATATGCGTTATATATAAGAGTTTTTGAATCGTCATCCCAATCAACAATGATGAGATAATGAATGTGCTTTTCGATCTATCTCGGTTAATTTTAAAGATCTTCTTTAGTTGAGCGTAAGGACTCCCCTTGTAGGACCGTTTAAAGCAGGTTCTTACAAACGGACAGGTGTCCATCCCGAGACACTAGCCCCCGACCAGCAGATGTGAAGCCAACCCTCATGTCTCCGCTTGGTTCTATAGAACTGTTATGTTTACTGAAAACCCCGCAAATGCGAAATGCGGAAACTACAACTAAAACCGTTCAATTCACTGCGATACTTCTTGTGAGTTGTTCAATCCCGGCCGAAGACTTGAGGCAACAGTATTAATGTGAACATTTATATTTGTGCATGTCTGATTTTTGCGAGGCGTGCACACACACACACGCTCGCGCGCGCGCGCACACACACACACCTAAAATTATCATCATCACGCTGCCCGTCAGATAATTTCCTACCGTCATAAAATGGAAGGTTTTTTTTAGAAAATAAATGGCGACTCCATACTTACCACAAAATAGTAAAAATCCAAAGTGACACCTACAGTACCTGCATTGTCCGTTTTCCAAAGTAAAACCTAAAATAACAGCACTCGAGAAAAGTATTGCCCTCGGGCTAAGCACAAGCGGAAATACATGAAACACAGAATATCCAACTTGAAGGAAGGATGATGCGTGGACCCAAATGCGTAATTCAGAAACGTCTAACTCAATTAGGAAAAAAAAAGCCCTGAAGCGTCAATCAGATGAAAGCGGCGCAAATGACTCGCTGGCGGCCGGAGGAGATCGAGCCGGATTGCTTTGCAGGACTGCCGTCTATTTAAGCGAGCTGATGAAATGTAACCGTACGCTAGGGGGCACCAGTATACTATCGCTCACTATAATATAACTGTGTAGGTTTTGCCCCCCTTTTGCACAGCAGATCCCCTGATTTTTGTGCTGTGTACCAGGAGTGACAGCCCCGAGTGATTTTCAAAGTACGGTAAGCCGACGGAAAGAGGCTGCACAGTCTGAAAAACCGCAGGAGCTCAGTGGGACCTACTTCCCAAGTCCCACTATTTCCACATGCAACCACTGAGGCTAAAAAATATATAACTGGGTGAAAGACGTTTTACTTGCACTCTCCCGACAGTCTATGGCAGACTTAAGACACCAAGAAGCATTCCTGCTATTGTCCTTTTGATTAAAACAAGAATGTGAATTTTAATTAGCGATATTGTTTTTGCTTTTTCAGTGGCATTTGTAGCAAAAAAAAGTGAAATCGTGCCTTTGACTTGCAACGAGTAGCTGGTTCTTTATAAATATATAAATGTAGTGCTCTATTTTAAAATAGTTTTTCTCCATTAACTTGCTTTTAAATGATTACACATCTTTAAAAAATCCTCAGCCTCGGACGGACCGAGTATAACGTATTCTTTGTTGAGAAATATGCATACATTCTGCGGCTTTGTTTTAATTTCGTTTGATTACATCACTTTGACACACGCGTAACCATACTTGGATTTATTAATGAAAATATCCAACAACCAGGAATTAGTTTTAAAGTTCCAAATTTTTGTTTAAATTGAATTTTAAAAATATTAAGTACCATACACTTAAAAAACTCCTGAAAATTTTGGATAACGATTCCGAATTAGTACGATACAGGCCCACATATTAAGATGTGTGCATCCAAGCGTATTACTAAAATGCAATACAGTTCGCGCAGTCATAAAACAGACTAATTTAGGCCTATATTATTTAAAAGAATTTACTATAAAGTAAGGCATAAATATTTTTTTAAATAACATAACCTGCTTTAAATGATACGATTCATGACTGATCTTGAGCAAAAGTATTGTTTTTTTTTTATTAATGTAATAAATAAATTGCACGTGATACAGAGAAAATTACAAATTATTTCTCATATTTTAATTGTTCTGGAACCATTGGCTTTTTCAGGTCTAACTACATATTATTATGAATTTCAAGAACTTGCTACATGCCCATAAATTATATTTTGCTGAGGACAAGATTTTTTATCAAGATTGAAAGTGCCACTTGAACTTTGAATAAACAATGGAAGCTTTGTTATCAGCAACAATTATTTAAATGTTGTCTGTAAAAAAAAAAAAAAACAAAGTGCATTGCCAAAGTTATTTCTATGTCATATTCTTTAACGTTACGCCTACTTTTACTTTCTATTGTGTTGCATTTTTGTCTTACATTTTAATTTCGCTACAATATGATACAACAACAAAATGCGGACAGAGAATGAGAGTTTAAAATTTTATTTGTGTCTGCGTGAATGCTGAATAGGGAGCTGTCATTGCCTGACAGCGCTAAAACTACCGTCTTTAAGACAGCGCGAAGCGTCCTGCTCGCTTTCCCCCCCAGAGCATCGAGGAGCTTCCAGCGCCCAGACAGCCAATGGGGTCCGGTGATAGGGGGCGGTCCGTGTACGCTGACCAGTCAAAACACGGTTGGTTTGCCTTATATGGAAGGCGATCTCCATGGTAACGTGCGCTAAGTTGCGGCAGTCGTGTCAAAGTTCACTATATAGAGAGCCGGGCGAGCCGATCAGAGAGACAGCGTGCTGCCAGCCCGGCTCCGGCAAATCGCAATCAGTTTCTAACCTCCCCACCTTTTCAAAATTATATTCCATCACTTTGATTCCGTCCTCTTTGCTTTTTCTTTTTTTCGAGCACGAAGGATAAGGATGTTCCGTACGTTGTGATCTTTTTTCTTTTCGTTTTTTTTTTCTTTTTTGTTTAAGCACTGCTCCTCGCTTCCCAGAGAGTTGACTTCATACTTGACTCCAGCGTCGACCGTGTGGTGCTCCTAAACAAGAAAGGAAGAACCAACAATATATATATATATATTTTTTTTTTACTAATTATTATTGTTGTTATTACTACTGTTCGTCTATTCCCAACAGCTCTTCTGGAACTTAAATCGTCCTTTGCCGGTATCCAAGACCTGATTTTTCCCTTTTCTTTTTGTGCGCATGTCATCGCTAAACTGTCCGTCGGGCGCTGTCAGTTTCAGTTGCGTCCGTCTCCTTTTATTACAGTTATAATTATATTTTTTTCATCAATGGGTTTGCTGAATGGCCGACTGCAAGCACCTCTGGACTTGGCCTCTTAGCGCACGGCTGCTATTCGGCTCATCTTCTCACAGCCTTTAACATCCAAGCCTGTTCTGCTTAAGCAATTTTACAAATTTTATTTTGTGCGGGATTCGCCGGAGAAATTCAACGAAATAAAAAAAAGATATATACGCCTTTTTCTGTCTCCGAGCTCATAGCTGAAGCCCCGCAATACCAAAAACGGAAGACAATAAAAGTTACTTAACGTTGGCTGATAGATATGGCAATGGCAGTGTGGAGAGGCTCCCAGGACGATGTGGCCGAGACCCCGGGGACCCTCTCTTCGCAGACCCCTCAAGGACCGCTGTCTCTACCAACCCCTCAATCAGGGCATCTGAACCTGGCCGCCTCTCAGGTCGCTCCACCGAACCCGCAAACGCCCGTCCAAGGCGGCGGACCACCGGGAAGCACAACGCAGTCTACGCCGCCCAACCACACCGGCCAGGCGCCGGACAAACAGCAACCCCAGCACATCGAATGCGTTGTTTGCGGGGACAAGTCGAGTGGCAAACACTATGGCCAGTTCACATGCGAGGGCTGCAAGAGCTTCTTCAAACGGAGCGTACGCAGGAACCTGACCTACACATGCAGAGCCAACAGGAACTGTCCCATTGACCAGCACCACCGCAATCAGTGCCAGTACTGCCGCCTTAAAAAATGCCTCAAGGTTGGCATGAGGCGGGAAGGTATTGGGATCTTTCCTTACCGATTGCGCGTGTGTTGTGTTTCTAGCAAGATCGCTTCTCCGTGGTGCTGCGATTATTATTCCGGGTTCCTCCTGCTTAAGGCTTTTCTCCGGGATGTCCGTCGGAGCACGCAAAAACACCGCCTACATTTGCGACTTTATATGTACTTCAACGTGCGTGTGTGTGTGTGTATTAATCGTTTTGCCCTAAATTGTATATTTTTAGTATCTTTTTTTTTGGGGGGGGGGGGGGGGGGGTTGTATATTTTTAGTATCTTTTTTTTTGGGGGGGGGGTTAAAATTGTAGGCCCAAATCACGTTTGTGCGTTTAGTTATACATTTTACGTGGAAATTATGTGCGCTTGTACATTGCATTAAGTCGAGCAGTCGCTCTTTTATAACGAAAGACTGGGGAGAGACCACGTTCGAAACAACACAAATTGTGACTTTAAATAGTGTTGGGGACATACAGCCTGCAGTAATCGTGTTGATAAATATGACAATATTTTTTTAATGCGGAGCTATAAAGAAACGCTTATGTCGTTGGACTGAGCGCAGTTTTACATTGTATCCCAGCCTCGGTTTTGCAGGACACAGAACTGCATGAATAGGCAGCTAAGTAGGTTAAGGGTTAGTAGGCAAGGTCCGCTTAGCGTGCTTTGTGCATGCCATGAATCTGATTAAAATGCCTACCAAACGGTCTACTTTATCAGCCTCAAAAGTGAAGCATTAATGTGAAAGCGATCAGCTCGCCGATTGCAGCAAATGGCAGGCGTACTTATAACGTGCGGCTAGACTGTGTCTGCTTGTGTCTCCTCCTGCATCGTTAAAACTAGTTTTGCCTCATCCATTAATGTTCACGTTGATAATAACGGAGGAGGAGTGAAAGGCAATAACGAAACCCTTGTTTGTAAGCGTGCGTGTGTCTGTTTCTATAGCTACTTTCTCTGAGGTCCTATTTGTGTATGTGTGGTAAAATTACGACTTTTTAATGAGTGGAATTCAGGCATCAATATCTAAGGTTTCTCTTTTTACTGCAGCGGTGCAAAGGGGACGGATGCCACCCACACAGCCACACCACGGCCAGTTCGCCTTGACAAATGGAGACCCTCTGCACTGCCATTCATACTTATCCGGATATATCTCTCTCCTTCTGCGAGCGGAGCCCTACCCAACGTCCCGATACGGCAGCCAGTGTATGCAGCCCAACAACATTATGGGCATCGAAAACATATGTGAACTGGCGGCCAGGATGCTTTTCTCTGCCGTGGAGTGGGCCAGGAATATCCCCTTCTTCCCAGACTTGCAGATTACGGACCAGGTGGCCCTCCTGAGGTTGACCTGGAGCGAGTTGTTTGTGCTTAATGCAGCGCAGTGCTCCATGCCTCTCCATGTGGCTCCTCTGCTGGCAGCCGCTGGCCTTCACGCCTCCCCCATGTCCGCGGACAGAGTGGTGGCCTTCATGGACCACATTAGGATCTTCCAGGAGCAAGTGGAGAAGCTGAAAGCTTTGCACGTCGACTCAGCCGAGTACAGCTGCTTAAAGGCCGTAGTGCTTTTCACCTCTGGTAAGTCGAATTGAACTTGAGTCGCTGGGTCGCCTCACTCACGGCTGGTTGGGTTTGCTTTGTGTGTACCTGCACAGCAGATCTGCGTCTGTTAAAGACAGAAAGGCCTTGTTAGCACTTTGACGGCAGTTATAAAGTGAATCATTCTCGGGCAAGTCGGTATAAAATTGCCTTTGAAACTAAAGAAGTATGGCACCCATGAAGATTTAAATAAACAAACTATATGAAATAATAGACATCTTCTATTGGTAGTAGTTCACTCTAACTGTATGAAACGCTTTTTCAAAAATCCCGTTTAAAAACACGTAAAATTTCAGCGAGGTATGCCTAATTCCGTAATCTGTTATTAGTTTCTTATAAGAGGCAACATCAGTAACACTAACTGAAATTGATACACTGTTCCTGTAAGTGACCCTTCTTTAAGTCCTTTAGCCTTTTATTTGTGATTATGTGGATGTCATATATGAGTTATGTCGTGTTTGGAGCAGACAAGGGTAAGGAAGCTCCAAGCCCGGAGCGGTTCCTCCTTATTAAAGTGATGCCTAATTACGCAACGCCTCGGCGTGTCACCCGTGGGCGACCTCCGTTTGTCTGTAAAAGCTCTCATCTATTTTCACTTAAGAATTGTAATTATTCGCCGTAGTTTTAGGTCTTGAAATCAGTACATCAAAAATGCTCCATCTGAGGAAAAACTGAAAATGTTCCCTGTGTTATGCTAAGATGGAATGGTGATTGAAAACATTCTTTGGACCTTTTCCAGAAAGGGGTCATGAACTTCCCAGTTCATTACTTTACTGAATTAAATGGGTAGAAATATAAGGTACGTCGACGCTGAGACAATAAGGATATTTAATGTACAATAACGTGGATATAATATAAATGCATTCACACAAGCACTATCTTTGTACTGGCTTCAAATGGCCTGGAATAGGCGTAGTGGTACATAAGCATAATCAATCAATAGGGAGGATTTGGGTGTAACTAGTTTTTTTTCGCAGTTATCTCTTTTGTCTTTCTGCATTGTATGCAGCTTTTCGAATACGGGCGCTTTTAAATATGGTTGCCTACATCGATCAAGGCTGGAATCGATCAAGAATAACGGTATAAATAGACTCGTGATACACACACACACACACACACACACACACACATATATATATATATATATATATATATATATATATATATATATATATATATATATATATATATATATATATATANTTTTTCTGCTTTTAAGTCATTCCGTTTGGTTAACAATTTGAAAGCAAGTAAACAAAAAGTAAGATGGCTTTTTTTTAACAAATCTGTGACGGCCATATTTATTGGTGATTATAGAGCCATTTTTCTGAACGCTATCGCTGCACTGTGAACGTGTTGCTTTCGTTTTTCCATAGTTTTCAATTGTAATAAGACAAATGTAAAGACGTGTCCGAGTATATATAACGAAAACACTTTGCAGATATTTTCCGAATAAAAATCCGCGGCTGATCTAAAAGTTCGATGTGAGTCAGGCTTTGAAGTAATTTGAGATAAGCTGGTGTTCAGTTACCTCAAAATATCAGGCCTACGTATCCCTATTGTTATTGCAGACACAATAAAATAACTGGATAATGCCAATTTAAGAAAGAAAATTATGGTAGTAATGATAGATTGAGTATATACACAGACAGAGATATGCTTATATATAAAAGGAAAATTCGCTTGCTCTACCTATTTTGTATTATGTTCTTCATGTTTGTGAATTACTACTGGGGAAATAAATCATGAGACTGATTTAATAATTCATTTTGTCTTCTCCCATCTCTAGACGCTTGTGGTCTCTCAGATGTGGCCCATGTTGAGAGTTTGCAAGAGAAGTCTCAGTGCGCTCTGGAGGAATACGTTAGAAGCCAGTACCCGAACCAGCCGACGCGATTTGGGAAACTTTTACTTCGCCTGCCGTCTCTTCGCACGGTCTCCTCCTCGGTCATAGAACAATTATTTTTCGTCCGTTTGGTAGGTAAAACGCCAATTGAAACGCTTATCAGGGATATGTTGCTTTCCGGAAGCAGTTTTAACTGGCCTTACATGCCGATTCAATAAACAGAAGGAGAAAAACAACGATACAGAGACTACTGTAGTTACCGCTTCTTTTAAAAAGAAAACGGCTGTTACACAAATTTATTTACACCAGAAAGACATTTTCTGAAATGACTGTGAATTTTAAAAATGATACAGTATGTGAACTTTTAAAATCCTGTTGAAGGCTATCTTGTTCTGAATAATTCGCTACTTAATCTTTCTGTTAAAATACTTTTGGGGTATCGACCTTTTGAGGGAAATTAAACTCTAAAGTGCATTAAGAAGAATTTGGTGACATGTAGGAGAAAAGTGTTAAAATGGTTACCTTTTCCTAATGCCCTATTCCCCGTGTCCGTGTACATTTGGCTGTTTTTGTATTTATTCTCCTGTCTGGTTCCAAACCAGCGTATGTGATTCTGTAGTATACAGTTTTGATATTACCATGGTATTTTATGAAACAGTAAGTGATGTAAAGAAAAAAAAATGTTCTTCTAGAATTAAAACTGAAAACATGGCAATATAGGGGAAGCGTTTCCACAATGAGAAATACTGCAGGTGCACTTACCGTACTGGCAAAGTATGATTTACTTAGGTGGGGAGAAATGATGAGAAATGGTTTTAATTTTTATTTAGGAAATCAAATAGAAATAAGCCCGCTAAAATAGGTATGTGAAGACAAAAAAAATGAATTGCTGGTCGATATCACTAGTTAAAGAGCAGGAACCCTGGCATCATTGTTCACCAAACTTTACTTTAGAACAGCGCTCTCACCTTTTTAGGAATCAGGAGTACTTTGTCGAGCATTAGCATAGCGTAGCATCTCCATTTAGCTAATTACGGATATTCTGGCTCAGTAGATTTCTGTTGGTTTAACACTGTTAACCCGATTTACTATTACGCATGAAGCAAACATTTCACCAAGAAACACGTATTTGGGTTTTTTTTAATTATATCAAAACGAAGTCAAAGTTTGCGGGTTTAAATATGAATTGGAGTAAGAAAACGGTTCGTTATGCAATTTTATTTGCCTGTCTGTTTTTTGCGGGCTTCACGGATGCCAGTCATTAGTGAAAATATTAAGTTATTTCATCGACGAAAAATGGGGTTCAAGGGTCAATTTACTTTTCGTGTCAGAGCAAAATATTTTTAGAACGTGTATTATCTCACCTAAAACGTTGAAATGTAATACATTTCTTAACGCCCAATCCATGTCCAACATAAAGTGCCTGTGAAGAGTGTGTCGGGTGGGTGGGTGGGGGGGTCATTCTTAATTTATTTAATTTGTTATTTAAGTGTTAAAACCTTAGGAATACTATAAGGTTTAAAACACCAGTCTTATCATCGCGTATTTCACGTACAAAAGAACAGTTAGAAGCAGTATTGTTGTAAATATAGGTCAGTTCCTTTTAACGAGTTTCTTTTATACAAAGTATATGTGATTAAGGAAATCTGTGTTTGCCATGTTTTGGTAAATTGAAATGTCTTCAAATTGAGTAACAGACTTAGCTAGTAGCAACGAAAGTTCAGTTTTTAATGTATAAACATACTATTTTTTTCCTTCAAATGTATTTAGACTGTGAATGCATGGCCACAGGTCACTAGCCTATT